TCGGGCCAAGGGCTATCACTACCGTATTCGGACCCCAGACATCTCGTTTTACGGCTTATTCAAACGACTGTATTTTCAACAAATGGCTAATAAATTGCCAATAATATGGTTTACCTGCACATTTGTCTAGTAAAGATTGTGTGTCTCTGATATGTTGGATGGTTGTGAAAAATAATTATTGTAAAAACATTTTCTTGTCATTATAATTGTTCGCCAAACCTGTCATTTTATTGCAAACAGCTTCGTTTCAGAGCTTGAGTTCGAACTTAATTCTGCTCTTGGGCAGTCTCAGCTTTTTGACCTCAGCTTCAGGCGCTGAGCTGAGTTTTTAGTTTGTGATAACGAAACACGGACGCTGAGCTTGAGTTCTTGAGTTGGGACTCAAATCTCAGTTTGTGGCGGCCTCAAGTAGGTTTGTGATACCGAAGCCAGATGTTGTTCCTTCGTGTTGGCAATACAAATATCCTCACTTTTAGTGTTTAAGCTGTTTAATGTGTCTTCCGAAATAGTGATTTAATGTTTGTAAGGCTTTCAGAAATCAATTTGGATATTTTTGTCCTTTTAAGAAATCATTGATTTTCATAACGACTGTCAATAATCAGTACTGCGTATTTCCTTTGTACTGATATGTTTTAACTACTACTATTTAAGGATTGAATCTTGGTTCGGTCGATTTCATGGGGTGATGCATTGAGTTGGTCTTGAAATAAATTTAATGAACTGCGAAGCAGTTCATGTTGAATTTGTTTCAAGACCAACTCAATTCATCACCCCATGAAATCGACCAAAGTAAGATTCACTCCTTATATTTCAATTAACGTGTTTTTCAATAATTGGAACTTGTGAAGTCCATTCTGATCGTTTGTCCCAGGTTCTAGAGCTTGTGCAAGTCTACGTATTGACATAATGTAAAAAAAAAATATAGTCCGTCTTTGAAGGACCATTACACGACATGATGGTTTACGCTGATAGTTCAATACAGCCAAATTATAAAGAAATAAAATACAAAAACATATTTTAAATGCCATATTTAATTTTTGTTGATGAATTCAAAAGATATCAAATTTTCTGATGTGTCATCGCGGAAGAATAATGCCTAGACGCGGTGCACAGGCTCAGATGCGAGTCTTCGGCAGCCATCTTTTTATTAGCGCGAAGTGGAGCGCCGCTAAATTTCGAGGTTCTACATCTTCTGGAATGTGAAGCTGCAGTAATTGAATGTCGAATTAGACAGGAAACCAGACGTGGCTTGAAAGGACGAAACATTTAATATGACATTTGGCGGTTCGACTGTATTTCATATGAGACGGGACCACATGGATCTAACACAGGGGTTCGTTAAATATGTCTGAAATACACCTATGTCTTTTACTGATATGGGTCATAGCACACATAAACATACATTTATACACATATGCTATACTGATATGGGTCACAGCACGCATAAACATACATTAACATGTGTATATGTGCTGTGACCCCTATCAGTTATAGCATGATATGTGTATTACAGACATTTGTAACGTACCCCTGTGGATCTAAGGAGGCAGTACCCAAATCAGATCACTTTTTGCAAAAATGCTTATAAATAAATAAACGTGTCAACACATCAGTTATACCAATTATGTAGTCTTAGAATAGACATGCACCATTTTTTGTCTACAGATAAATAGTTTTTAAGTTCAAATAGCGCAAGAAAACGTAATTCAAAGTGTCAATGTTTTGATTGCGTTTTTAAAAAATGGCGCGTGCGACGACTATGCATTCTGGTTTGGACTATAGGAATAAATTCACACTATAGAAAAACTTCTAAAGGTTATCATGAAATGTTGATATGCTGACACAAAATATTCATTTGAAGCGTACGATACTGCAAAATTCAAGCCTTGATCCGTTTTGGGTCCCGACATTCGCAAAAGCCGATGATTGGTGACTTCAGAGCGTTCTATAAATATCTCAAGTGAGCCGCGGGTGCTAATTTCGTTTGTAAGAACACCCATCGATATTCTGTTTTTGATACAACCATGAAGGAATATAATTCCTCCTCAGATTTTTCAATGATTTAAAAAAAATGATGATTTGGTGATCCGATTTGGGTACTGTCACCTTACGTTGTTTTCTATTTGTACCGGGGGTTGATAGAATGGGTAAGTTAGCTGGAGGGAGAATGTCTAGGGCAGTACATGACATCACTACCGCTAGAACCGTGATCTGATAATATTTTGCTGATTTATCGTTTTGGTTGTCTAAACAAGTTCTTGTGTAGCTTCAATAAAAATGTAAAATCTCATTAAGTGGGACATCTTCTTTGTATAAACATGTCAATAGTTACCTCCCTTCGCAAAAATCATACGCACAGTGCTCTAATTCATCGGCAAATGACACGGGTTACATTTGGTAGTTGCATTGAGTCCAACTTGAGTAGGAATTGAAATATTATAAAATGATATTTGTGTTTAGTTTAAACACTTCAGTAAACGTGTGTACTACGGTATCTGCTAACAGTCTATGTAGTGTACGTGATGAACGGAGGTAGATTTGATCACGTAGATCCGACTTTAAGAACCTTATTTAGGTAGCAGTATACAGTAGAGGGTTGTGGCCATGGGTGATATTTTTGTTAAATTGCTAACCCCTGTATAACGATATGTAAAAAAAATATAAAAATAAAACTGTACTAAAATTGGTATAAGCATGATGAAGTGGGCTATGTGAGCTTCACATTTGTAAAAAGAAAGAAGATTTTTTTGGTTCGAGAATAAATTTTGGCCATAATCCGAAAGGGTGCGTACACATGAAAAGCTACCTTTACAGGAGGTAAAATTTTGACAACAATACACGACGCAAAATTGCAAAAAATCAAGTTTTACAACTTTACTGGGACCCAGATAATTCTGCAACCAGGTAGATAATCTTTAATTTCAGACAGAGCTTAGGAAAAAAATTACTGGTTGCGGGGGTCAAATTTTGGGTTAAAAATAGCATTTTTTCGCATTTTTTGGTAATTTTTGATGTGGTATCCATGGTTTTCACACAAGTGACATACATAGAAAAAAGAGGTTTATACACTTCTCAGTACTTTATATGTATTGTAAATGTAATGCAGTTTACAAATATATATATACATGTATACATGTGTTGTGTAGGGTAAATCCGCTGTGTTTACATTTAATCGACATGTGCCTTGTTTATCAGAGTCTGGCCATTTCTACTGTATACTGCTACCTTAGGTTTAACCGTGTTGCCCCTTGTTTATCTGGTCTAACGTCCTTTGTTAATTGTATCTGACGTTTCAGTTATCATTGTGAAGACTGCTGTCATCTTTATAGTTATTAGTTTTAGCGTTAGAAAAAATCGATCATGTCTCTGAAAAATAGCCAAATCAGTCTATCTGCCCTGTTAGTAATGGGTGGTGTAATTACTTTTGTCTTGACAACAGGGTTGGATTGCTTTCAATTACAGACAAATTACATTGGGGTTAGTATTCGTTCTGTCGCAATTAACTCTTTGTATTTTTTGTATTTTTAGTCACACCAGTGGGGACTATTTTGATTTCGGTTTCAGTCCCAGATTTTGACCTCTGTTGTCATGTGCTGTTAAGTGTATGCTTCTGTCGGAATATATCAGGCGCTAATTACAAGCTCTTGGATAACTCAGATATCGATTTCCTTTTTAAACAGGAATAGAATAAAACCTAAAGGCGTTCCAAATTTCCCACAGGAATTACGTATAACATAAAGATGAATCAGGCACCTTTGAGGTTCCCGAAGGGGTATACTGTCGTATAATAAATTGCTATTGACTGATTTAGATATTTTATGTCTGACCAACGACTACCGTTAATATTTGAATATAGTGCGCACTTTTTTAAGGAAAAATGAAGTTTCAAGAAAGTGGTGTACACGATACTCAAGAACAATCCAAAACCGGTCCTCGGTCGCGACCATTTCTCGTAAATATTTTTCGAGGATTTTCGGAAATGTTTTGAAATATGATCGCGGCAATAAAACTGTAAATTTCGTTGAATAATCCCTGATTGCATTGCCAATATAACAATTACGAAAAGCTGCAAGTTTAAGTCATATTATACGATGAATCGGATAAATAAACTCGAGTAAAGTAGGCCCGACTTTTTAGGACGTTACGTTGTGAATTGATAAATACCACGTATCGGGAAACATAACGAAGACTTGCATCGCATTTATCACTCTGTGGTTAAAATGTCGTTCTTAGGTAAATGATGCTGAACTCTTCAATCTTGACAGTAAGAATGTGTCAAAAGGACATGGGTAAAGTTACAAAGTTAGCAAGTTTGTGTATTGCAAAGATTCAGGTCGCGTGATACTATTTACCGGCAGGAACTAACAATGTCTCATACATGCGAATTGAACCGATAATATTAAAAGGTAGAGTTTGAAAAATAAATATTAACAGGCTCAAAACAGCCAAATACATTCCGATATTATCTTTTCAAAGGAGAATTGCTGAAATCACAATTGTTTGGTGTTCTTCATGTCTCGCGAATTCGGCTGTTGACGGTCCTCGTCGGCGTGTTTGAGTGACTGCATTTAAGCGTACACATTCTGCCGATACCAGACGATCAGAAAACTACTTGGAAAAGTGTATTTCATAAAAAAAAGAGTAAAAGGTTTATATAAGATTGAATCTTTTTTGAAACTTATTGTTGTGAAAACAACATCGCTATATTTCATTTACCTAGCTGCTCTGCCCATGCCAGGTGATCGTGTCAGCGCGCAGATCTCCCCGTATTCGAAGTGAACGTTATATTTGCGACATGCTTTCTTATTAATTCCATGTGTTGGCATGGCAACCTGAACAGCATGTATGTATTTACACCTGGTCATTGTTTACCATTTTGATTGACCGGTGGAAATATATCCGTTGTAGCTTGGTCAATGATTTATCGGAAAATGATCATGATGGGGTGACTTTCATGTCATTCTGACATATTTCTAGTCTTTTGTATTTTTCTTTTTCAGACCCTCATACAACAAAATGGCACAAATGGCACTTTCATTATACTTTAACAAAAAGCACAATGAATGTGTTCTGGAGGAGCTGGAGGTCGGAGACATGGTGGAGTTTCCGAATTTTTTATATTCTCACTGGGGAGTCTATATAGGTAATTAAATATAATGATCTGGTCAAACGATTGTATATACATGTCGGGAAAATAATCTAATGTAATAATACTAACGGCGCTGGTATTGTGTTACGTCGAAGTGTAAATTGTCTAGGCCACAACACAAATCATGTTAGTTGATTAGCCGGAAATCTAAAACAGGTTACTCCCTTGATTCTACATATTTCATTTATATTGTACTACGTATTTAATAAGTTACCGGAACCAGGGGTGTTGCCCTTGTTGCCTGGGCAACACCCTATTTCTGTGTCCAAAAATAATCTGGCCCAAGGTTTTTGAAGATTTTCCTCTATTTCATATGGGATTTCCTTCTAATATCAATCATCCCTTGAACTTTGAATTTCTATGGCTTCCCCCATCCTCGATATCCAGGGGTTACGCTTACTTTCGCTCTCTACACCCCCGGAATATGTCATGGCAAAATTGAAGGCACGAAGATAGCTGTTTGATTGGTCTCGGGTAAAAACCTGACCAATCGCTAGGCAATTTTTACTGTTACGTGACCGCGAGATTCTTTTGATGTACATCAAAGGATCGAACTAGTCTTCTTGTCTCATCAACAAGGTGGCGCTCATCGAGCCTTCATTTTTGCCATGACATATTCCAGGGGTGTAAGGGGTGTAGAGAGCGAACGTGAGCGTAACCCCTGGAAATCGAGGATGAGCTTCCCTTTGCTAGCAGTTTGAATATCTATACATGCCTAAGGGTGTTGCCCAAACAAGGAGTCCACTTCTTATACTCTAAACAATAGGGGATTAATTAGTAGGGTCTCCAGCCGGGTCAGTGGTCAAGGCTCACCGGACTGACTCTAAAAAAATCTACCTAATCTTATTGTTCTGATGCCACGGTGTGGTGATGGTGGTGATCACCCTGTCAGTCAGTTGATAGAGGACTATATCATCTGTTAGAATTAGGTATATAGGTAAAGTGTTATTTCAAAGGTAGAGTCCATTTATGATAGATACACCTGTATTTTCACCTGTGGTTTCATGTACACATGATCACCCGGAGTTATTTTTATGCCAATTAAAAAAATACAAATATCAACAATTTCAAAGACAATGAAGCACCCTTCTAAGCATCACTTTATTAGGTGAATAATACCCAATGTTAGCATAAAAGCCTGGCATGTATATCCTTTTCATTAGGCGTAGCCCTTGAACATATGTATGCGTACAAATTCACAATAAAAGACAAACAGTTAAATCATAATTCATATTTATGACAAAATAAATCAATATTTATTGCCAAAATGCTCGCCTAAACTACATGCACATGAAGGGCAAGATACAAACATCAACATTTTAACCAAAAACCTACATTTTTACCATTTTGACGTTACTGGATTATCTAGATCACACTGTCTTTAAGGTAAATAAAAAGCCCGTTCTGATATGTTTTGACGTGGTGGACAAGATACATTCAACAAAATTGCATTTGTTCATGGAAAACTGTTAGAAACAATTATTTCATCTGACCTGGTTATAATATACGCTAATATGGTGATTATTTCCATCAGTTTGTGTAGCTTTCATGCAGCATGTACATATAATCTATTGACGATAGAAACAAGTTATCACATAATTATGTATGCTACATTGATCGCACTATGGTGTGGAAGTGTGGCATTATGATTGGTAGGCTAGCCTTTGGTGGTCGGGTGCCACAGTGGATAGCGCACTCGCCTTTCACCAAGGGGGCCGGGTTCGATTCCCAGATCGGACGTGAAAACGTATGAGGACCACGTGTGTTTTCTAAGGGTTCTCCGGTTCATCCCACTTTAAGACCCACGGGCCATCCAGAGTAATAAATTGTATAAGTTGAAATATCTTGTGTCATAATTGTTGTTTAAAAATAAATAAAAATTATATTTATTTACCATAGGTCTCATGTCGATCTAAAATAAATGTACACACTGTTCTGTTTTCGTATTTGACCCCCTTCTATCTTATCTAAGTAAAAAATTGATGAATAGGGGGGGGGGGTGCTAAGGAAATTCGCCATCTTGGATCCAAGATGACGCCTTAGCAACCCCCTTAACCTATACGGCCCTCCCTCCTCCCCTATTCATCATGTGTTTATTTTGCGTGTGACGTCATCAATTTTACTCCCCTGTTTCAGCATTTTGCTTCTGATTTCAGGTATTCACTCCGGGACTCTCGCCGCTGTTTCGTTGTTTTTTTCTCTCTTTTCTTTTTTCCTCTTTTTCTGCTCTTTTTTTAATCATGTATTTTCATTTTCCTTAATAATCTTATGCATAAAACATATTAACAATGTTTTCGAGTGTGGTATTAAATTGAGATGACCTTTTTTCGTGAAATGTACAGGAGATGTACAGGAAAGAACGAAAAACTATATATATGCCGTGAATTTTACATCGTAAATAACGCATGTTGTAACTATTTATTGTTTTTAAATATATTTTATGCATAAGAATATAAAGAAAAATGAAAATACATTAAAAAAAAGGAGCAGTAAAGAGGAGAAGAGAAAGGAAAAGAGATTTTTTTTTTTTGACTAAACAGCGGCGTGAGAGTCCTGGAGAGAATACCTGAAATCAGAAGCAAAATGCTGAAACAGGGGAGTTAATTCCGTCATTAACACAAAATGTATGACGTCACACGCAAAACACGCACCCTATTGAAAACAGGGGGAGATAGTTCCTGCGGTAACGCGAAAATTGATAGAGAAAGAGAGTCCCGGAGAGAATACCTGAAATCAGAAGGTAAAAAAGTTGGAAACGAGGGAGCTAATTCCATCGGTAAATGTTAATTTGATGACATCACAAGCAAAACACACACCTAATGAAAACAGGGGGAGATATGAGTCAATGTACAAGTAATAGCGATTTTCATTTCTGTATGCGTTCTTTCTCCTCATGCAAGGGTTCGCAGGTCTGTCAAGCATTGCACAGAGAGAGACAGTCCATGGAGGCAATACCTGCCATCAGAAGGTAAAAAGTCAGAAAAATGGAGAGTTAATTCCGTCACAATGACGTCGCACTAAATATACACATCTATTGGAAACAGGGGGAGTAATTCAGTCGGTAGCACTAAAAATGATGACTTCACGCGCAAAATAAACACATGATGTATAGTGGAGGAGGGAGGGTCGTAGGTTAAGGGGTTGCTAAGAAAATTCGCCATCTTGGATCCAAGATCCCCCCC